TAAAAATGAAAACAACAACAGAGTAGTAAGCGTCACATCAGTCGGGTGATCATGGATGTTCTTTACAAATCTTGAATCTTCTTAGCTGGGTACTTGACTTTTAATGTATACATACAGTACATAGCAAACAGCGATCCAGATTTTAAACTAGTATTAGGATATGCATAGTGGGAAGAAGTGCTGACTGCACGAAATATTAGTTTGGTAGGAATAGGTATTTTACTACTTATTTTAAAAACCAAGAACATTGACTAACAGAGGCGTAGCGACCCTTCCCGGCGCCCGGGCACAAACTTTCGATTTGCACCCCCCCCTCGAACTTTTCATTTGCACCCCCCCCCCCCTCAAACTTTCAATTTGGCGCCCCCCCCCCCCGCTACGCCTCTGTTGACTAACAATTACATATTTACAAAGTCCAAACGTTGGTCACTAAATGAAATCGTACAATTTATTTCATTTTCTTTCAGGATCGCGTATCGAAAGATAAATGTAGCGATAATCCTGAAGATAATCTATGCGTGCAATTCGACAGCATGAATTATACTGATATTACGTAAGTCTTACACAATTTACAATATGGACTTTGAAATTAATTTGTATTAATGTTCGGTACCATGACGAATACTTTTTATTTACAATCAGCTGTCTTAAATTAAATACAAATTTTATACTGTCAAACGGATGGGGGTCCCCGCATTTGGGCGGATTTTTTTTTAGGTTGTCGGTATATATATATATATATATATATATATATATATATATATAATATAATATAAGAGAGCGTTGGTTCTCATTTTTTTACCGTAATTTAATTTTTATGAATATCCATATCCACACCATAGCGAAACAGAAGCACGGGTATAATTGTGAATATCCATATATAAATCCACAAAACCATAAAGCCATGTATGACTGCACAACACTACATCTCCTGATTTGCTATTTTTTTAAAATTTATAATATTTTTTTCCAGAAACTACTTTATTAAACTGAACATTTATTATGAGGACCTGAATTATGAAATAATAACTGAAGTAGCAGATTATGAGGTATGTTTTCAATCACATCTTAGTTTGACACATTGTCACAACCCGACCTATCACAATGTGCAAAACCACTAATGGCTGCTCAGTCAAGTGATGTAGGATTTATCAACGGACATGGCTATTGTTGATTAACAAAATATTACAAATTATTTACAATATTACAAACCGTTACAATTGCACAATGATAACATTACCGTGTCAAAGAGCAAATTATCTACATTTAAACGGACCTACGCTTAGATTCACGACAGTTTACACAGAAAGGTAGACGGATCCTTCAGCAGATATTCTAGCTCTGTTCTGAAGAAATGATGTAACCTTCACCAACTTACACTAACCTTGACCTATTTATATGATAACCTTGACATATTTATACGATGACCTTGACCTATTTATATGATAATCTTGACCTATTTATATGATAACCTTGACCTATTTATATGATGACCTTGCCCTACTTGCAGCTGTTCCAGCTCCTGTCAGATGTTGGTGGTACCATAGGTCTGTGGATTGGTCTCTCATTGCTCAGCCTGTTCGAGGTGCTACAGCTGCTGGCCGAGGTCGTCGTTCTGGCAGTGGTCCATACGTTTAGATCGTTAATTGATTATTGATATTTGTGCGGGCATATACATTTACATCGTTACTTATTGGCTTATGTGTGTGGTAGCATTATTACATTATAAAGAAGGATAGAGAATCAAGTTAAAAATAAATTCATATGCGTTTTTTTTGAGAAATCGGAAATAGGGTAAAGTACTCTTTCGATCGAGGGAAATTACTCAAAATTTGTACGTAAATGGAGAATTAGGTCTTTTACTTTGAAATTTTGTCTATCTATCAGCAACAGTACTCAAGTTATAGGCTTTTGAGAATGTGAAACTAGAATAAGTTCTACTTCCGATAACCGGAAATCGCAGACAAGTTTATACAGATCTATAAATTTGATGTAATTCTTATATATGAAATTTCGCCAACCTAGCTGTAACGGTACTCAAGTTATCGTGTTCATATATATATACACACACACAGACACATGCACACACAGACATACAGACAAGATTGCAAAATTATGTTTTTCTGACTTAGAAATGTTAATTTTTGCTTGATTGTAATGTTTTTAGACAGTAAAATCTCATTAAAATATATTAATGAACTTCAAGGTATTTTTAAAACAATTTGTGGTGTCTATTTTAGGACAATATTGGTTGCGCAATTATTTTTTTCTACGAGTATTTTTTAAAATGTCAATATCCCGACTGCACTAGAGTTGCCATCCCCATTAGTGAGATTAAAAATACATTGGGTTAACTGGATTATACTGTTTTTGTTCAATTACAGCTTACCATGTTTACTTTTTTTAAGAAAAAATAAACCGGGAGTGATCTCCCCTAAACTTTCTCGAATATTCTAATATAACACTACGTGGGATGTCAACTCGGAATATAGACATGATTTTTGTTTACTTAAACTTTTAAAAATAGAATAAAATCTAGTAGATGAAAAAATTGCGCACCAAGCGAGCACCAAAACCAAATGTGCGTAATAGTGCGCAATATTATTAGTACTTTATAAATTTACATGCGTTTTTTTGAGAAATCGGAAATAGCGTAAATTAGTACTTCCGGTCAACGGAAATTACTCAAAATTTGATAGAAGGTAGAGAATTAGATCTTTTACTTACTTGTGAAATTTCATTTATCTAACTGAATTAGTACTCAAGTTATAGGCTTTTGAAAAATTCAAAGTAGAAAAAGTACCACTTCCGGTTATCGGAAATCGCTCAAAAGTTGATACGGATCTACGATTTTGATATAATACTTATATATGAAATTTCATCAACCTAGCTGTAACGGTACTCAAGTAATCGTGTTTACACACAGACAGACACACAGACACACAGACACACACACACACACAGACATACGGACAAGATTGCAAAATTATGTTTTTCCGTATCAGTGAGGTGTAAAACGTCGAGATTTGTAAAAATCTCGATTTTTTTTTTGCACGATTACAATACTTTCTCTATACTACGTATATACGAGAAAGTAAAAAAAAACATAACATAAAAATCAATAAGGAAAGGAAGACAATAAAAAAACACCACACTGCTTACAAGTTAATATTAGATATTATTTATTCCAAAATTTTCGCGTTGTTGTCGCACCCCTTATGCTGTGTTAATAGTTCTTCTATTTATTAATATTGAAATTTACTAACAATTTATAGAACCTACATTATTAGTGAAAGACTCTTTCATATAAAATAAGATGCACTGCCTAATCTTATGTGAGTAAATTTTGAAACATATATTTCATGCTTTTCGAGTTATTCTAAATTTTTTATTTATGCTGTAAACGTTAAAGTCCCTTATACTGTGTAATTTTAGATACAATCTTTAAAATAGTTTACTATTCAGTAGTATCACGTTTCGTTTAAATTAGCATTAGAAGAAAAATCATTATATAAAATCGTTTGAATTTCAAAAGGTCAGATTTTATGCTATATGAAATGAAATTCTGCATTCAAATTTCATGTATCTTATTCGCAGAAAAGCTATAACAATTTTTTAATGTCATATTGTTTTTTAGTTTTATACTTATTTATCATTATCATGACGATCAGATTTAATTGTAATTTTTTTCATTTATGTACTGAAAGATAAAATACATTTTCAATATTTAAATATACACACGCAATATTTTCTAAGTCACATAATATGTATTTATATGGTTGGAAGTTTTGGTGTTATTTGATATTCTTTTACCCATTTTAGTGTATTTTAATCTAACCAGCCAGTCTTGAGTCTAATCATTGTGCTACAGTCTGCTTTATAATTGTTTTAGTTACCAAATTAATCTCTTAGGAAAATAAAATAAAAGTTCTTCACCTATTAGTGTTGATTATTAATGTTTTATTGAGCTTCCATATTAAAATATCAACTTGAAAATGTTGATATTAGCGTGAACACTATTGCTTGATCTTCAAAAAGGATTAAAATTAGTTAAACTGTTAAAGTCTACCTATTTACAGAAGATGTATATATGTTGCGCTATTTTTTTCATATGCTATACCGAAAAAATAACAGTAGACTTAATTAAACCATACATTACAGTTTATTCATCGTTCGGTTACTATTGCCATAAGATAATTCCATTATTAAATTTGAAAAAAAAAGTTATTTTTGTTACCAGATAAAATACATTTCCCTTACTCACCCCCTCCCCTCACTTTCTCATCACAAACTGACTGAAGTACAAACATGTAAAGAAAAGCAACCTAGCGTTACACAGCTCTCAAATCAACTAAACGGCAAGCTAATATCACACGAAGCCAAGAGCTTATGAAACAGTAGACAACATACAGTAGACTAGTTGGAGGAAGATAGACACATGTTACAAAAAAACCCACATATTTTACTCAATTCCATGCCAATCCATGTTATATTTCCCTGTAATATTCTAACAGGAATTGTTAAAATGTTCTGTGTTGATATACTTTCTCGTTCATTCATGTCATTAACACTGATCATGTGGTAGGCACAAGATTGACGTAGCTTCATCATCTTCTCCTTTGTCTCATTACATCAGCTGATTCTCACTGCTTTCCTAACTAATATTTGTTTTTCGAATCAACATTATATCTGCGCTAGTCAGTTGTAAAAAATGTACACAAAATTCTCCTTTATCCACAACATAAGCAGAATTATGTAGCCTAATGAAAGTTTGAGTTTATTGTTATACTTTTATATCTTAATTTTTTACTGTATAATTGTACTTGCTTTATTAACATTTTTGTTATCTTTGTATACAAATCAGACAAAAACAATTAAGTTATTTATTTATTTCAAGTAATTAAAACCCGAAATGATTGCTGACGTTGCGTTACTATTCTATAATCTAGAGATGTTAAATGGAGCGTAACAAGTATATTTTCCTATCTTATAGTAGTCCATTATTTCCATTTCCTGCAAACAAGGTAGCGACATATTTCCAGGAAAAGGTGAACGATCTCAAACAGGCTGAGAACTGACAGACCAATCCACAATCCAATGGATCCTCCAATATCCGACAACAGATTTGTGAACTGTGGATTAAATTGAAGGATTTTTAATACTTTAAGAATCTATTACTTTATAAATTTCAATCTACACATTAATTAATTTTTAATAGAAGATCATCAAAATCATTCCATGTAGACAAATATTGTAAAATAATTGTGTTCAAGCAAGTATTGCATGTAACCAAAGTGAGGAAGACCACTGGGAACATGGAGAAGAAGTGCAGGCTACTGGCAAGACCTGGCATGAATTGAAGTGTCTCGCCCAAGACAGAGTGGAATGACGGAGATTTGTTGCTGCCCTATACACCACAGGGAGTGACGAAGATTAAGTAAAGTAATTAAGTCTTGCATTTAGTGAATATTTACCGCGTAGTTGGGCTGGTCTGTGAGCTCTTCGTAATGCAGATCTTCAAAGTAGATGCTCAGTTTCACCAGTTCCTGACTAGCAAACAAGGAATCAATCATGGTTTTTAAAAACATGTCATAAAATAAATAGCCAATTAATTGTGTCAATCAGAGCTAGTAGATCGTATAACAGGAAAATGAAAATTAATCTGATATATGAAAGGCGGTAAAGTATTAAAGTTTTTAATAGTGTTGGTTGGCTTTCTGGTCCAATTAGAGTTAAGAGTTTATGATGCTGAGGTGAGACTTTGATGAGCTACAGATTACCTGAAGTCAACAACTGAAACATTGTGCTTGCAAATTTTTGGTGGGTTGTTGGAATTACAAATCTCAGGCTTGATGTAGGCCTGTAATATATCATACCATTATATATATATATATATATATATATATATATATATATATATATATATATATATATATATATATATATATATATATATATATATATATATAAAGTGTTAAAATAAAAAATCTTTAGCTGATTAGAAATCAAGTACTGGCTCCTTAGAATGTTAGATCTGTGTTAGCTCAGAGGCGTAGCGACCCTTCCCGGCCCCCGGGAACAAACTTTCGATTTGCACCCCCCCTCAAACTTTCGATTTGCACACCCCCCCCCTTGAACTTTCGATTTGTTTCTCCAACCCATTTTGGCGCCCCCTAAGGTCGGCGCCCGGGGACATATGTCGTCGTCCCCCCCCTCGCTACGCCTCTGTGGTAGCTATTATTGTTTAGAACACAAATAATAAACTAAAATTTTCAACACAACAATTGTCCCCCTTACCGCAAAGCCTGCTGTTGGCCACTTTAGTGTTGCGATTGTCTTCTGGTACATAATTTCTCTAGTTGTCGAAAATAATTGCGACGTTATTGTACAATTGTAACAAAAAGTTGTTTTAAAATTATGTATAATATGTTGTAATAATTTCTCTAGTTGTCGAAATGAGTTGAAAAGTAAATGTACAATTTTAACAAAAATATATACATTTTTTTAAATTTTTAATATTCAATTTGAATAAATATTTGATGTGGAAGATGAATTACTTGCAAGGACTTTTACAATTGCAAGTTGTCTTGTTCTTTTCAAGCTGACAGCGGACCTCATACAAGCACAAACGTTCTGGAAATTTAAAGTTTAATGGCAGTAAATGTCTTGAGAGACTTTAAAAATTCTTACATTAAATCCAGTCAACTGTTATTAGATGCTGCAACTTATTGGGTTTGTGAAAGTCAAAACATTCTTTAAATACGGTCTACGGTCATCAGTTGAGCAACTTATTGGGTTTGTGAAAGTCAAAACATTCTTTAAATACGGTCTACGGTCATCAGATGAGCAATTTATTGGGTTTGTGAAAGATAAAATGTTCTACCTTCTACTGTTCTACACTGATTTAGTTTAGCCATGTTGTGGTCTTTGATGACGTCATTCATGTCCAGCTCGAAGTCAAAACATTTGCATTTTTCTTTGATCCGATCTCGCTCGCATTGTTTCTGACAGTACTGTGGGGTATACATGGTAGACAATATGGAATATGTGTGGTTGTTTAGTGTGGTGGGTGGTGATGTGTTTTGTTGGACGGAGGGGTGTTCGGCGTATAGTTTGGAGAGGTGGTAGTGTAGCAGGAAGGTAGTGTGGTGAGACAGTGGTGTGGTTGGATGGTTGTGTGGTATTGCTGTGGTATGTTGATGAGTGGGGTGGTGGTGTGTTGGGTAGTTGATGTAGAAGGATGGTATTGGGATGAGATGGTGGAGTGGTAGAATGGTGGTGTGGTGAGGTGGCGGTGTGGTGTGGTGGTGGTGGTGGTGGTGGTGTGGTGAGATGGTGGTGTGATGAGGTGGTGGTGTGATGAGATGGTGGTGTGGTGAGGTGGTAGTGTGGTGAGTTGGTGAAGTGGTGGTGTGGTGAGATGGTGGTGTGATGAGGTGGTGGTGTGGTGAGATGGTGGTGTGGTGAGGTGGTAGTGTGGTGAGTTGGTGAAGTGGTGGTGTGGTGAGGTGGTGGTGTGGTGAGTTGGTGAAGTGGTGGTGTGGTGAGATGGTGGTGTGATGAGATGGTGGTGTGGTGAGTTGGTGAAGTGGTGGTGTGGTGAGATGGTGGTGTGATGAGATGGTGGTGTGGTGAGTTGGTGAAGTGGTGGTGTGGTGAGATGGTGGTGTGATGAGGTGGTGGTGTGGTGAGGTGGTGGTGTGGTGTGGTGTGGTGAGTTTAGACTCGACGAATTTATAAAAACAATTATAAAAATTAATTTATTAAAGACTTACGTTTCTCGAGTAATTATAACCATATTTCTTTTTGAACATAACCCCATCATCACAAGGGTCGTAGGGTGATCCTATTCGGCTTATAGACACCTTTAAAATTCCATTAATTAAGATTTAATTGATAGAAATTATCAAACAAATACGTTTATACGGTGTTAAAGCAACATGAAAACATTGGCTTTCATACAAGAAAATTAAAAACTAGAACTAGGAACGTGCTAAGGTTATTGATGTCGGTTGTGTTAGTTTAATAAATTTAAATTTAAATGACTTTATTTCACCAATCAAACTCACCTGTCTTTGTTTCACCAATCAAACTCACCTGTTTTTGTTTCACCAAACTCATCTGTCTTTGTTTCACCAATACAACTCACCTGTCATTGTTTCACCAAATCCACCTGTCTTTGTTTCACCAAATTCACCTGTCTTTGTTTTACCAAAATCACATGTCTTTGTTTCACCAAACTCACCTGTCTTTGTTTCACCAACCAAACTCACCTGTCTTTGTTTCACCAAACTCACCTGTCTTTGTTTCACCAAACTCACCTGTCTTTGTTTCACCAAACTCACCTGTCTTTGTTTCACCAAACTCACCTGTCTTTGTTTCAACAAACTCACCTGTCTTTGTTTCACCAAACTCACCTGTCTTTGTTTCACCAATCAAACTCACCTGTCTTTGTTTCACCAAACTTACCTGTCTTTTTTCAACAAACTTACCTATGTTTGTTTCACCAAACTCACCTGTGTTTGTTTCACCAAACTCACCTGTCTTTGTTTCACCAAACTCACCTGTCTTTGTTTCACCAAACTCACCTGTCTTTGTTTCACCAATCAAACTCACCTGTCTTTGTTTCACCAAACTTACCTGTCTTTTTTCAACAAACTAACCTATGTTTGTTTCACCAAACTCACCTGTGTTTGTTTCACCAAACTCACCTGTCTTTGTTCCACCAAACTCACCTGTCTTTGTTTCTCCAATTTAACTCACCTGTCTTTGTTCCACCAAACTCACCTGTCTTTGTTCCACCAAACTCACCTGTCTTTGTTTCTCCAATTAAACTCACCTGTCTTTGTTTCACTAAACTCACCTGTCTTTGTTTCACCAAACTCACCTGTCTTTGTTTCACCAAACTCACCTGTCTTTTTTCAACAAACTCACCTGTCTTTGTTCCACCAAACTCACCTGTTTTTGTTTCACCAAACTCACCTATCTTTGTTTCACCAATCAAACTCACCTGTCTTTGTTTCACCAAACTCATCTGTCTTTGTTTCACCAAACTCACCTGTCTTTGTTCCACCAAACTCACCTGTCTTTTTTTCAACAAACTCACCTGTCTTTGTTTCACCAAACTCACCTGTCTTTGTTTCACCAAACTCACCTGTCTTTGTTTCACCAAACTCACCTGTCTTTGTTTCACCAATCAAACTCACCTGTCTTTGTTTCACCAAACTCACCCGTCTTTGTTTCACCAAACTCACCTGTCTTTGTTTCACCAAACTCACCTGTCTTTGTTTCACCAAACTCACCTGTCTTTGTTTCACCAAACTCACCTGTCTTTGTTTCACCAAACTCATCTGTCTTTGTTTCACCAAACTCACCTGTCTTTGTTTCACCAAACTCACCTGTCTTTGTTTCACCAAACTCAAGTGTCTTTGTTTCACCAAACTCACCTGTCTTTGTTTCACCAAACTCACCTGTCTTTGTTTCACCAAACTCCTTTGTTTCACCAAACTCACCTGTCTTTGTTTCACCCAACTCACCTGTCATTGTTTCACCAAACTCACCTGTCTTTGTTTCACCAAACTCACCTGTCTTTGTTTCACCAAACTCACTTGTCTTTGTTTCACCAAACTCACCTGTCTTTGTTTCACCAAACAAACTCACCTGTCTTTGTTTCACCAAACTCACTTGTCTTTGTTTCACCACTCACCTGTCTTTGTTTTACCAAACAAACGCACCTGTCTTTGTTTCACCAAACTCACCTGTCTTTGTTTCACCAAACTCACCTGTCTTTGTTTCACCAAACTCACCTGTCTTTGTTTCACCAAACTCACCTGTCTTTGTTTCACCAAACTCAAGTGTCTTTGTTTCACCAATCAAACTCACCCGTCTTTGTTTCACCAAACTCACCTGTCTTTGTTTCACCAAACTCACCTGTCTTTGTTTCACCAAACTCACCTGTCTTTGTTTCACCAAACTCACCTGTCTTTGTTTCACCTAACTCACCTGTCTTTGTTTCACCAAACTCACCTGTCTTTGTTTCACCAAACTCACCTGTCTTTGTTTCACCAAACTCACCTGTCTTTGTTTCACCAAACTCACCTGTCTTTGTTTCACCAAACTCACCTGTTTTTGTTTCACCAAACTCACCTGTTTTTGTTTCACCAAACTCAAGTGTCTTTGTTTCACCAATCAAACTCACCTGTCTTTGTTTTACCAAACTCACCTGTCTTTGTTTTACCAAACTCACCTGTCTTTGTTTCACCAAACTCACCTGTTTTTGTTTCACCAAACTCACCTGTTTTTGTTTCACCAAACTCACCTGTCTTTGTTTTACCAAACTCACCTGTCTTTGTTTCACCAAACTCACCTGTCTTTGTTTTACCAAACTCACCTGTTTTTGTTTCACCAAACTCACCTGTTTTTGTTTCACCAAACTCAAGTGTCTTTGTTTCACCAATCAAACTCACCTGTCTTTGTTTTACCAAACTCACCTGTCTTTGTTTTACCAAACTCACCTGTCTTTGTTTCACCAAACTCACCTGTTTTTGTTTCACCAAACTCACCTGTTTTTGTTTCACCAAACTCACCTGTCTTTGTTTTACCAAACTCACCTGTCTTTGTTTCACCAAACTCACCTGTCTTTGTTTTACCAAACTCACCTGTCTTTGTTTCACCAAACTCACCTGTTTTTGTTTCACCAAACTCACCTGTCTTTGTTTCACCAAACTCACCTGTCTTTGTTTCACTAAACTCACCTGTCTTTGTTTCACCAAACTCACCTGTCTTTGTTTTACCAAACTCACCTGTCTTTGTTTCACCAAACTCACCTGTTTTTGTTTCACCAAACTCACCTGTCTTTGTTTCACCAAACTCACCTGTCTTTGTTTCACCAAACTCACCTGTCTTTGTTTCACCAAACTCACCTGTCTGAGACCAATTTGCGTGTGCATCCCTGGACTCACAGCTATATCGTTTTCGTCATGAAAAGGGGCAGTACCCGGCTCATGTAAAATAACACGAGCTCCGTAATCGGAGGTTATTCCCCCTAGATATTCATCTGTTTCAAGTGACAGCATCATCTCTAAGCCTGAAACAGTAAACATATTAATACACTATTCAGTACAATTATTGAAATGAGAAGCTCAGTATTAAAAAATAACTTTTAAGTGCACTAAAGCTACTTACTTAAATAATAATTTATCTTTATTTTTTTTTAAATGAGCAGTTCTAACAGCTTGAACTAGATCTATAATAATTTTTAGAAACTTTACATATTAAATACTAATTTTAATGCAGCGTACCGTTTGAAACAGTTACCTACCTATGTTTCATTAGATTTAATCAGGACATTTCTCGGAATAATTTAATTTTAACAGTTAATATTTTAATGTGTCTGTTGTATTATGACTACAGATATGCAGAGTTTCTTCCAGGCATCTCTTCGGCAAAGTCCCCCCCCCCTCCCCGAACGAAATAAAATTTATATAATTTATATAGATAATATATACTTTTAACGGTTCCCGCCTCCGAAGAAAGTCTACCGCACCCCCGAAAATTTCAAGTGCCCCTGAAGCTGTTTTAAGCAATGCTGTTGCTGTTTGGTGTGGACACCTACCACTATCGGGGCCACTCCTTATAGCCACGAACTCGGGGTGTTGTAGGGTGTAACAGTTGCCGTACTGGGGCGTCACCACAAGGTTGAAGTACCTGGCACATAAAAATAAGCCCATCAGAAATTTGTTTGCCCTGTATGCATCAGTGCACCAGACGGACCACACATCTCTGAACCAAGCCCACTTTTCATATACTGTACCGCAACTCTACCAAGCCCACTGGGCACTTATTTCTCTATACCAAACCCTTTGGGCACTTATTTCTCTGTTACAAGCCCACCCTTCCCATACTGTACCACCACTCTACCAAGCCCACTCTTCCAATACTGTACCACTAGTCTACCAAGCCCACCCTCCCCATTGTACAAAGTCTAACCCATCGTTTTGTGGTAAAATTCAATGCATAATTGTCTTCGTGTATTGATTGCCCATGTTTGTTGGCAAACCGTGCAGATAAATTACCTTTGATGCACGGTGTTAGCAATTTTAAACACAATTAGCCGAGTCAACATCTAAACACAATCAAATGGGTCAACATCTAAACACAATCAAGTGAGTCAACGTTCTAGCCTGAACTTAACCGTGATGTGGAGTCAATGACTGCCCTTATCCGTTTACTCAAATAGCTTCAGACTGAATAATTATCTAATCATTGATCAAACACCCTATCCTTCGAAACCGCATAACAGTAGTACATCATTTAATTTCATCGTTAGTGTGAAACAAAATAATGCGCTGTTAGGTACACTTGTGTGTGCAAATGAAATTGTTACACAATGAATATAAACCTTATCATCAATACGGTGTGAAAGGGACTTGAAAAATAGCCACCCCCATTTCTTACACACTCGTATACTAAACAGTGGCGTGGCCAGGAATTGGTCATGGGAGGGGTTCAAATATGTTTCCATATGTATAAAGTCATATATATATATATATATATATATATATATATATATATATATATATATATATATATAGGGGTGTGAGTCCATGGGAGGGGTTATAACCCCCCTAACCCCCCTTGCCTACGCCACTGATACTAAATATGTAGCTCAAAATATCAAATCTTTAATACGAAATTTTGTTCATGCACAGTTTACAACTTAAACAAAGTTAGAATGACTTGAATTGCTTTGACCAAAGTTAAAATGACTTGAATTGCTTTGACCCAAGTTAAAATGACTTGAATTGCTTTGACCCAAGTTAAAATGACTTGAATTGCTTTGACCAGAGTTAAAATGACATGTACTGATCTTGGCCCAGTAAAGTTATCTGAGGTCACACGAACTATTTTAAACCAATTTAAACATGCACTTATATTTTTAGATTTTGTAAACATCGACTATGATTAATTAAATAATGAATTAAATTAATTAAGTCACGCTTCGCTGTTGGTGCGGTGACGTAGGAATCGATCGGTTTGAAATGTAATGCCCAGGTCGTGTTATCGAGATGTCATCACATGACATTAGATGTCATTAGGCTGTGAGCTATGTTTGCTGACGAATGCATCTCGGCGATACATTAAATAAAAGCCGGTGTGGTGATAGCTGTTGGGTGATAATTGTCGGCGTGATGGTAGAAGGTTTCTACCACATCTAATTGACGGCGTGATGGTAGAACGTTTCTACCACATCTAATTGACGGCGTGATGGTAGAACGTTTCTATCACATCTAATTGACGGCGTGATGGTAGAACGTTTCTACCACATCTAATTGTCGGCGTGAAAATAGTAAAATGACGTGAATAATCATCTCTGTTATCATTTTAGATTGATGGTTTTTCAGCCAGGCAAATCATCAGAGTGTATCAGGATAGATCAAGTTTGACTTTAATGGTCCACTTAACATCTCTATTGAATACCACCACCATTCACACACTCGCAACAATCCCCTACTCCACCTGTAACTACCTACCTGAGAGGACGTGGGGCCGGCGTTTAAGACACTACCTTCCTTCATCAATTCACAACAATCCCCCACTCTACTCCACCTGTAACTACCTACCTGAGAGGACGTGGGGCCGGCGTTTAAGACACTACCTTCCTTCATCAATTCACAACAATCCCCCACTCTACTCCACCTGTAACTACCTACCTGAGAGGACGTGGGGCCGGCGTTTAAGACACTACCTTCCTTCATCAATTCACAACAATCCCCCACTCTACTCCACCTGTAACTACCTACCTGAGAGGACGTGGGGCCCGCGTTTAAGACACTACCTTCCTTCATCCATTCACAACAATCCCCCACTCTACTCCACCTGTAACTACCTACCTGTGAGGGGCCGGGATTTGAGAAGACACTCACCTTCTTCCACACGATCTCTCGGCGAACGAACACATCCTGAGTAGACCGTCCAGCTGGTGGCCTAGCTTTTGTCTCAGTGATCTGTTGCTCACACGAAACAAAACTCATTAAAAACGTGCAACTCAAGTTTAACATTTAAAGAAAAACAACTGCATACATTTTTTCCCACGTTTTCTTTAACTTGCTTTCGCGTCCGGTTTTCCAATCAAATCTTGCGATCGATATTTCGGGCACTTCCCAGTTAGCTAGCGCGCTGAAATTTTCAGGGAAGTTTTGTTTCCGATGACCATAGAATATTCAATTGTTATTATTACTAAATTAATCCATGGAAACATTTTATTGAGCATTTTAGACCGCTATATAATTGTAGTAAAAACGTGGGGAAAAGGGGACATAACCCAGTAACTGTAATTTGATGAAAACAAGGTTCGGTACTCTCCTCTTTTTGCTAACTGAGTATTGTTCACGCTGTGGTAATAACTGGTGGCCAGTATGAGGTAGACGATATGGTCGAGTGGTTGGGTACACGATTGCTATCCCACTCGACACGGGTTCAAATCTATGTGTTCTAGTCAGTAACGTTTTCACACAACGTGTTTTTTACGAGTTGTCTTCGTTTACCCAAAAAAAAGTGAAAAGATAAAATCGATAGCAAGATTTTAATGCAAACAAACAGACAAAGACTAAAAAGTAGAAAATAATAATCATTAAAAAAAGTTTTAAAAAACCCACGTTTTCTGATTGAACTAAAAAGTAGAAAATAAATGCTATACATCACAATAATGCAAGCGATCACTCTACTATAAGCGATGAAAAACGTGGGGCGCCGTGATTTTCTTACAGTTTCTAATACTGTTGACTCTCTACAAGCTCCCTAATAAAAGTCAATAGTATTATCTAATTCTAATCAATAGTAATATAACTTTTACTTCGGCGTCCCACGTTTTTCATCGCTTATAGTAGAGTGATCGCTTGCATTATTGTGATGTATAGCATTTATTTTCTACTTTTTAGTTCAATCAGAAAACGTGGGTTTTTAAAAACTTTGTTTAATGATTATTATTAAAATAGCAAGCTTGTATATAATACCGCTCTAAAAATGAGACAATAAATGATTTTCTTTAAATAAATAATCATACACTACTATTTGAATTACTATAAAGAAAAGCGTGGGTCGCCATAATATGTATTGGATACCTTTACTAATATTTAGGAAGTGACCCACGCTTTTCTGCATAGGTATTTAAATAGTAGTGTATTATTACACTTTTTAAGAAAAAACCTTTAATTTTCGACATTTATTATTGTTTACGAATATGGATTCATGTGCAATGTTCGTCTTAGAACAATTTTTCTTGTTTATACCGGTTTTTTTTTAGATACGAGCGGTCGAGAGAGCTAACATTTGTTTTGACATACAAGCACAATTTGAGATACGAGTAATCGAAATAGCGGGTTTAACAGTTCATGTAAATGAAACACACCGAAAAAGTTGCAACTGATTGTGCAACGGAGCTATTTAATTTCATTGATCTAACTCATTTCAGAAACATTTTGAATAGGAGGAAAAAACACCACCCTTGGGCAGGTTTATTTTAACCACTATAGCATATTTTGTACAGGAACCACATTTGTGTGATTTACTTCATTATGATCTCCAGTTACATTTTTTATATAGACATTTCTGTATCAAAATATAAACTTTGTGTTATCCCAGTATTGGGATACTCGAAACAATGTGTTGTTTACATGAGCTAGTTATGATACACAGGACAACAAATTTTGACATTTTTAACACTGGCAAACAAAAACAAAACACATATATTACAACACTAGTTTATCTTCTTACTTCAAATCTGTGTGACTTACATTGGCTGTTTGTTATAGACGTACATAAAATAGTCGTCTATTTCATAGATGGACGTGTTCTCGAACATTCCCCTATCCCAGCAGTACCTGCAATACTGAACACAAATTTTAGGATTCAGCAGAATTTGGATACAACATATCAAGTGTCACACTATTTCATTCACAACAGACGTTTCAAATGTCACACACTATTGCATTCACAGCATACGTATCAAGTCACATTCTATTTCATTCACAACAGATGTTTCAAATATCATACACTATTTCATTCACAGCAGACGTTCAAATGTCACACACACTATTTTATTCACAACAGACGTATTTCAAGTGTCACATACTATTTCATTCACAGCAGACGTTTCAAATTTCACATACTAATTCATTTACAGCAGACGTTTTTCAAATGTCACACACTATTTCATTCACAGCATACGTATCAAGTCACATTATATTTCATCCAGGACAGACGTAAGATCAGAAACACACTATTTCATTATCCTATTCGTCTCAAGAGACACAAGCTATCATTAAGTAGACACACATCATTTCATTATCCACTACGTATCAACACACCCAATATTTCACGGATGAAAGAATTTGACGGTTAGAATACATTAACATGAGTAGGTTTACCTGGCAAAGCGCAGTGTCCCTTTCCTTCACCCATTCTAACAACTTCCGGTCATAAAAATCTGGCTCACCCATTTGATCAGCTGATAGACTTTTATTGCTGTAACAAAATATGTGCAGGGGGAAGGAGATGGCATGGACATAAGAGCTACCATTGAATGAAAGGCAATTTTATAGTTGTTTTCCTTAACTAAAAGGGACATAACTCACCACTGTAACGGTTCCTGGTTGTCGTCAATACCCGAATCATAGCATGGTAGGTTGGCTTCGTGTGGTACCATGCCCACTATACTGTCACGGATGAACAAGTTTTGGACCTGGGCCGAGGCCTCTAGTCTCTGTGAACACAAACAACACAATAATTTTATCACAAACGGATTCGTTCTATCGTGGAGGTAGGCCTACGAAAGAGGAAAAAACCACCAAAAAATGAACAGGGAGTGATCTTTCCTAAACTTTCTAAAATATTCTTATATAACACTACGGGGGGATGGCAAGTCGGGATATAGACAACATTTTAAATCCATTTTTAATAACTTAAACATTTTAAAATAGAATAGAATCTCGTAGAAAAAAAAAAGAATTATAATAGTGCGGAATATTATTAGTACTTTATAAATTCACATGCGTTTTTTTGAGAAATCGGAGATAGCCTAAAACACTATTTCCGACCAACGGAAGTTACTCAAAATTTGAGAGAAGGCAGAGAACTAGCTCTTTTACTTATATGTGAAATTTAATTTATCTATCTGAAATAGTACTCAAGTTATAGGCTTTTGAAAAATTCAAAGTAGAAAAAGTTCTTCTTCCGTTTATCGGAAATCGGTGAAAAGTTGATAATACGGATCTACAAATTGATACAATACTTATATATGAAATTTCATAAACCTAGCTGTAACGGTACTCAAGTTATCGTGTTTATAGATACACATACACACACACATACATACTGACATACGGACAAGATTGCAAAATTATGTTTTTCCGACTCAGGAGGGTGTAAAACATCGAGATTTGCAAAAATCTCTATTTTTTTATTTTGCACGATTACTATACTTTTTCTATACTCGGTATACGAGAAAGTAAAAACCCAACATGTTAATGTAAACTAACCAATTACTAAATAGAAAAGAATTATTTTTTTGAACTAATATCACAGAATGTCAGACGAAAGAGTAGCATGTTTACCTTAGAGAATCTCATCATGTTGACGTTACACAGGGTGACTGCAGGGAACTGCAGGTTATCAAACCTCAGATTTACTTTCGAATATTTCTCATACTCAAAAAAGTTTGAAAACAAACTGAAATGGAATACATGTGCTTGCCAAAATAATTATATCTAAAAACATAATTAAAAATTTAAGAAGTCTGGATTATACTTTTTATGACTAAGAATTATGCAAAACATGAGACTTAATCGGTCTATTATAATTTTTTTTAATTATAAAAAACAGATTAATTTAAATGATTTAGTTCTATAATATTAACCTTCACGTATACTGATATTTAATCTATACAAAGCGAACTACAAAACTTTTAACTGGGATTAAGCTACGAAGCAAATAAAAAGTTGAACCTACTAGTACAGGTGGAAGGTGGCCCAATAAAAAGTTGAACCTACTAGTACAGGTGGAAGAAGGTGGGCCAATACAAAGTTGTACCTACTAGTACAGGTGGAAGGTGGGCCAATTAAAAGTTGAACCTACTAGTACAGGTGGAAGGTGGGCCAATAAAAAGTTGAACCTACTAGTACAGGTGGAAGAAGGTGGGCCAATAAAAAGTTGAACCTACTAGTACAGGTGGAAGAAGGTGGGCCAATAAAAAGTTGAACCTACTAGTACAGGTGGAAGGTGGGCCAGTAAAAAGTTGAACCTACTAGTACAGGTGGAAGAAGGTGGGCCAATAAAAAGTTGAACCTACTAGTACAGGTGGAAGGTGGGCCAATAAAAAGTTGAACCTACTAGTACAGGTGGAAGAAGGTGGGCCAATAAAAAGTTGAACCTACTAGTACAGGTGGAAGGTGGGCCAATAAAAAGTTGAACCTACTAGTACAGGTGGAAGAAGGTGGGCCAATAAAAAGTTGAACCTACTAGTACAGGTGGAAGGTGGGCCAATAAAAAGTTGAACCTACTAGTACAGGTGGAAGGTGGGCCAATAAAAAGTTGAACCTACTAGTAGCCTACAGGTGGAAGGTGGCCCAATAAAAAGTTGAACCTACAAGTACAGGTGGAAGAAGGTGGGCCAATAAAAAGTTGAACCTACTAGTACAGGTGGAAGAAGGTGGCCCAATAAAAAGTTGAACCTACTAGTACAGGTGGAAGGTGGCCCAATAAAAAGTTGAACCTACTAGTACAGGTGGAAGAAGGTGGCCAATAAAAAGTTAAACCTACTAGTACAGGTGGAAGGTGGCCCAATAAAAAGTTGAACCTACTAGTACAGGTGGAAGAAGGGGACCCAATAAAAAGTTGAAACTACTAGTACAGGTGGAAGGTAGCCCAATAAAAAGTTGAACCTACTAGTAAAGGTGAAAGGTGGCCCAATAAAAAGTTGAACCTACTAGTAAAGGTGGAAGGTGGCCCAATAAAAAGTTGAACCTACTAGTACAGGTGGAGGAAGGTGGCCCAATAAAAAGTTGAACCTACTAGTACAGGTGGAAGGTGGCCCAATAAAAAGTTGAACCTACTAGTACAGGTGGAAGAAGGTGGGCCAATACAAAGTTGAACCTACTAGTAGCCTACAGGTGGAAGGTGGCCCAATAAAAAGTTGAACCTACTAGTACAGGTGGAAGAAGGTGGGCCAATAAAAAGTTGAACCTACTAGTACAGGTGGAAGGTGGCCCAATAAAAAGTTGAACCTACTAGTACAGGTGGAAGAAGGTGGGCCAATCAAAAGTTGAACCTACTAGTACAGGTGGAAGAAGGTGGGCCAATAAAAAGTTGAACCTACTAGTACAGGTGGAAGGTGGCCCAATAAAAAGTTGAACCTACTAGTACAGGTGGAAGAAGGTGGGCCAATACAAAGTTGTACCTACTAGTACAGGTGGAAGGTGGGCCAATTAAAAGTTGAACCTACTAGTACAGGTGGAAGGTGGGCCAATAAAAAGTTGAACCTACTAGTACAGGTGGAAGAAGGTGGGCCAATAAAAAGTTGAACCTACTAGTACAGGTGGAAGGTGGGCCAGTAAAAAGTTGAACCTACTAGTACAGGTGGAAGAAGGTGGGCCAATAAAAAGTTGAACCTACTAGTACAGGTGGAAGGTGGGCCAATAAAAAGTTGAACCTACTAGTACAGGTGGAAGAAGGTGGGCCAATAAAAAGTTGAACCTACTAGTACAGGTGGAAGGTGGGCCAATAAAAAGTTGAACCTACTAGTACAGGTGGAAGAAGGTGGGCCAATAAAAAGTTGAACCTACTAGTACAGGTGGAAGGTGGGCCAATAAAAAGTTGAACCTACTAGTACAGGTGGAAGGTGGGCCAATAAAAAGTTGAACCTACTAGTACAGGTGGAAGAAGGTGGGCCAATAAAAAGTTGAACCTACTAGTAGCCTACAGGTGGAAGGTGGCCCAATAAAAAGTTGAACCTACAAGTACAGGTGGAAGAAGGTGGGCCAATAAAAAGTTGAACCTACTAGTACAGGTGGAAGAAGGTGGCCCAATAAAAAGTTGAACCTACTAGTACAGGTGGAAGGTGGCCCAATAAAAAGTTGAACCTACTAGTACAGGTGGAAGAAGGGGACCCAATAAAAAGTTGAAACTACTAGTACAGGTGGAAGGTAGCCCAATAAAAAGTTGAACCTACTAGTAAAGGTGAAAGGTGGCCCAATAAAAAGTTGAACCTACTAGTAAAGGTGGAAGGTGGCCCAATAAAAAGTTGAACCTACTAGTACAGGTGGAGGAAGGTGGCCCAATAAAAAGTTGAACCTACTAGTACAGATGGAAGAAGGTGGGCCAATACAAAGTTGAACCTACTAGTAGCCTACAGGTGGAAGGTGGCCCAATAAAAAGTTGAACCTACTAGTACAGGTGGAAGAAGGTGGGCCAATAAAAAGTTGAACCTACTAGTACAGGTGGAAGGTGGCCCAATAAAAAGTTGAACCTACTAGTACAGGTGGAAGAAGGTGGGCCAATCAAAAGTTGAACCTACTAGTACAGGTGGAAGAAGGTGGGCCAATAAAAAGTTGAACCTACTAGTACAGGTGGAAGGTGGGCCAATAAAAAGTTGAACCTACTAGTACAGGTGGAAGGTGGGCCAGTAAAAAGTTGAACCTACTAGTACAGGTGGAAGAAGGTGGCCCAATAAAAAGTTGAACCTACTAGTACAGGTGGAAGGTGGCCCAATAAAAAGTTGTACCTACTAGTACAGGTGGAAGGTAGCCCAATAAAAAGTTGAACCTACTAGTACAGGTGGAAGAAGGTGGCCCAATAAAAAGTTGAACCTACTAGTACAGGTGGAAGGTAGCCCAATAAAAAGTTGAACCTACTAGTACAGGTGGAAGAAGGTGGCCCAATAAAAAGTTGAACCTACTAGTACAGGTGGAAGGTGGCCCAATAAAAAGTTGAACCTACTAGTACAGGTGGAAGAAGGTGGCCCAATAAAAAGTTGAACCTACTAGTACAGGTGGAAGGTGGCCCAATAAAAAGTTGAACCTACTAGTACAGGTGGAAGAAGGTGGCCCAATAAAAAGTTGAACCTACTAGTACAGGTGGAAGGTGGCCCAATAAAAAGTTGAACCTACTAGTATAGGTGGAAGAAGGTGGCCCAATAAAAAGTTGAACCTACTAGTACAGGTGGAAGGTGGCCCAATAATAAGTTGAACCTACTAGTACAGGTGGAAGAAGGTGGCCCAATAAAAAGTTGAACCTACTAGTACAGGTGGAAGGTGGCCCAATAAAAAGTTGAACCTACTAGTACAGGTGGAAGAAGGTGGCCAATAAAAAGTTAAACCTACTAGTACAGATGGAAGAAGGTGGCCCAATAAAAAGTTGAACCTACTAGTACAGATGGAAGAAGGTGGCCCAATAAAAAGTTGAACCTACTAGTACAGGTGGAAGGTGGCCCAATAAAAAGTTGAACCTACTAGTACAGGTGGAAGGTGGCCCAATAAAAAGTTGAACCTACTAGTACAGGTGGAAAAAGGTGACTCAATAAAACTTTGAACCTACTAGTACAGGTGGAAGGTGGCAAATAAAAAGTTGAACCTACTAGTACAGGCGGAAGGTGGCCCAATAAATAGTTGAACCTACTAGTACAGGTGGACGAAGGTGGGCCAATAAAAAGTTGAACCTACTAGTACAGGTGGAAGAAGGTGGCCCCTATGGCAGCAGCTAGGAGCACGGCCCAGACGGTTTTCACCAGCGAGTTCTGTGACTTGAGAATGAAGATGACGCCGTTCATTGAGGCACGGCTGGCGTATTTGTTGAATATGTGACTGAACCGTTTGGTCGGCTGCTGGGATGTTGGCGTCACGGTTTCGTAAAGTCCATTTTTCTCTGATTTTTCCATCATTTGATGTAGGTCTTTCTGTGAGAGATAAACACAAGCAACACAATAAGACGCGAATATTTCGCCATTTCATGCTTTAAAAGATAACTATTCTTACATAATTTCAAGCAAATAGTAATAGTTTAATTTCCTATTTTCTGACTAATTCTGTTGAGGCTGTTATTTTGGCTTTCAGCTTACCCTAAAACCAAATAGAATTTTGACGGCGAATAATGTGTGCAGAAAGGGTAACAGTGACTGATTTCGGGGAAAAGGCCCCCCCCCTTTGCATATCTAACTATAATTTAAATTATATTTCCTAATTTAATTTTTAAACCAAAACCTTTTTCATTTGCAAGGTATCTCTATTATTAGATTACAAGACACAAAAGTAAGGCCCCAGATTAATTTGGGAAGATCTCGAAACTTCATCAGAAAAAACTGATATTTTAAAATTTCAACAATTCCGCCTATTAGGTGATTTAGAGTAGTTTTAAGATCCACCTTTCGACTTTAAATTGTTGTAATGGGGCCCTTATTAGACCACTCTTAGTAGAGCTCGGGATGCTGATGGTTACCCAGCCGCCAGAGCGTAGACAGATTCGATTTACTCGACGATTAAAAAAGCTAATCGTATCCATAGTGTATTGCACTCTTTAAAACAACCGTAGGCACCATTTGGCACTCAGGGTAGCCCGGGGTGTCCAATCACACCCGCCGGAGCGCCGCCACTCCGAAATTTAAATTTCTTTTGCGGAAACTCTCCAAAGAGTATTCTCATCAACTTCCCAAAGTTTTATGGCAATCAGAAAAAAGGTGTAGTAATGCCTAAAAGATCATTAAACAAATACACTTTCTTTTATATATATATATATATATATATATATATATATATATATATATATATATATATATATATATATATATATATATATATATATATATGCACATTTTACTTTTTTTTGTAAATGTATATAAATGGATTAAGTGTAATGAAAACACATCCACTAATTAGGCCTACTCACCAGTGCCAGAAATCGAATGAGCTTGACAAATCTGGAAACCTGTTTGTCATACTTGACTGGCCTGTTGGTACTGATTCGTAATGTGGACCTCGCTTTCATGTCGACCACGTGACCATACCATGCATGTCAATTAACTTGCAGCAGATCACGTCATCAGCGCAAGCGGCAGTCAGCACAATGCGACGCTAGGCGCCAACTTACCAGCTACTCACGTTCACAGCCTGTGGGGTGGGTACGCTCACAGTGAAGCCCGTGTATCGAACACATCAGACGGCAGTAGAGTGCTGAAGCCGGCTATCACGTGATGCCGTAATGTAGAAAAACAAACATACTAGCTTTTACATCCATTAATTTCAATTTAATTATTGTTTACATTATTTACAGTGTGATAAAGCTTGCTGTTAATAAAAGAAGCTGATCCAACTAACAGTAGAATGATAAAATAAATCTTTGAATACGTCATGGATTTTAGGTTTGAAATTGCAATTCAACGTCATTTATACAAATTCATTTTGTTAGTGACATCTTCTTTTTTTAAAAATCTTGTATTTGACTCACTATGGGTGTGTGTGTGGCTCAGCTAGTCTGAAAATATTAATTTAACCCACTCCCCATTTTCCGATTGAAATGAAGTTTGGTACATTTCTGATAAAGCGAGAGTATCGAATTTTTTTAATCTAATAAGATAGATAATCAGGCATGAAGTGTATTTTAAAAACTACTATATCCTTTTATAAAAGGGGAGATAACAAGGTTTTAAAAAATTATTAGCGATCGGTGGATGAGATGGCCGTCATGGGTAAACTTTTTTCAGTTCACGGATGGATGATTTCATCGACCGCTAACTAATTAAGGGCAAGTAACTTAATTTTAAAGTTCACAAGCTACTGGATGGATTTTAATACAAACATCTTTAGTCTTTTTCGAACAAATTACCAAAAAGTGAAAAATAAATATCAAATAAAATGTTTAAGGAAAAAGGTTTTAATTAATTCACAAATTTAAAAAAATCACATATGAGCTAATGGACTAAACGGTAAAACTTAAATTTATTTTGATGTAAACTTACTAATGCCATTTGATGGTATGATTAAAAATAAAAATATGTGTGCTCACATATAGAAAACATGTTTCCTTTCATAGGATGTTCATTGACAGGTAAACGATATATAACATAAGACCTACGTTCAGTTTTCATCATTGGGGCATCTAGTTTTTTTTAATTTTTACTCATGACAGCATATAGCACAATGTTACACCCAAATTACATTCATTTTTTTTTTACTTTTTAGTGCATTTTATTTCTTATGCGAGATTTATAATGTATAATCTCTGTTAAGGATTTTATAGATATCTGTTTTAAGTTCCGAATATTTCCGTGGAAAGTGTCTGAATTTTTTACAGGAAACACAACAAAAAAACAACGATGTCAATACAAGATTATATTTATTACCTCCCCTTAAAATGTCTCCAATCCTAAGCTCTATTGACTTGACTTGACTTAGTCCTCTTTGCTCCGTATGGAACATAGAGCCTCCACCATTTCCTTCCATTTCTTCCGATCCCCAGCTATTAATTTTGTCATCTCCCAAGACATTCCTGTTGGCTTCAGTTCTTCAAGAAGACTCCGCCTCCAGGCCGGTCTTGGGCGCCCTCTCTTCCGCTTTCCCTGGGGGTTCCACTCAACCAAGCTGTATTGCGTGTACGGTTTGACAGAGCACTCGACTGCTGACCGGAAAAGGATTTTTTTCAACTTTAAGTATGTTTTGCTGAGAAATATCTTTTTTAACATAAAAGAAAGGAACAGCCCAAAACTAATTTCTAGATGAAATTGACCACAACAGGCTGCAAGAAAAATAATGAATTTGACAGACACCTGAAGAAAAAATTAATAATGTCTGACTAGAAAAGTGTATTAACTATATTACCTGTGTCTAAGCTAAAGACACATGTATGTTTTTAATGTTTTATCACACATATTTCTTCAAAAACCTAATGGTATTTAATTAAAGCCACTGAATGTTACGCTAAAATTGAAAGAACAAGCTGAAATTTACTTCTTCCAATAGAGTTTATGCAAGAGATTTAAGTAATTTACAAGCTGTTACACTTTCTATGTCGTTAAATTAAATGTTTCACTAGCGAGGATGTGAACTATGTTGACACATAATCACGAGGTCCGGAAACTTTAAACGAGACGTCGGATCATTGAGCGGTACAAAGGTTCATGTAGTGCCAGAATCAGCTAACACAGATTCACCCAGCGTGTGATCATCCGCGCGTGACGACCGCGCTGAACGTCACGTTCCCCCCCCCCCCCCCCCCAACACGGCGCGTCTGGCCCCTGTCAATACAGTTATGACCGGCGGTTTTTGAAGCGTTGAGAATGACAAGAATAAAACGTGGAACAATTTCTTTTAAAACAGATCCAATTTTTTGAAGACCACAAATAATTTAAATTGAATCTTTGCGTTTTGTGGTATAATTTGTATCATCATTTTCATGGGCATACGGTAGTACTTTCAATGCACCATAAGACGTAACATAACACCACATACACTTCAAGAGATCACGTCCAACTAGACTGATCAGAAAATAACGAGGGTATAGAAGAATAACGCAGTATGTCCAAAAAAACATAATCTCGAGAAAAATGAGTTTATAAATCTCATTCCAATACAAAAATAGTGCAAAACATTGAGTTTAAACATTCATAAAATATTTGCATTCTACTTTTCTGACATTGTACATAAATGTTCTTGTAGCTTGTATTATTTACAGTATCAGTATAAATGTACATCGATTTGACCTAAAAAATAGACATACTGCATTTGTCCTCTATACTCTCGATAAGTTAGTTCTATATAAACTTGGACATACATCATCAACATATACTTTTGGACAAAACGCAGTAACATACACATTTTTGGATATAATACACTAATAGGCATATGGATATAGTACAATGCCACACAGAACTGTAACAAATTAAAAGACAGCCAGTGGATTAATTAATCCTGAAAGTACACTAAGCTTGAACGTCACTTGTTGAAAAACAAATTAGTCAACCCCGTCAACTGGTTTCATACCAACTACTTCCTGAGGTTCCAAGACTATGAGTGACTGGTACCCATTTTACATGGTCATCTACAACAGGAATTTTGTTTTACGTCTGAGTTTCAAAACGGCATTAGCAGAAACATATTCTATTCTATTATTTAAATCAGTGTTCATACATTTTAAATAGTCATTTTAAATAGTCGTTAACTAGTTCATCATTTTTGCTTGATTAATTATCTGAACATAATGGGGGCCATTAATTCATCACTTTATAGTCATTGACAATGTTATCACTACGGGCAAATAAGTAATGTTGGCTAGTTAACCCAACTAATAATTTATAAAATTACATGTGTAGAATTACACGTAGTTATTATATACCTCAGCAACATTATAGAGAATAAATTTAAAATTATCAATTGCTAAAAACAACTTTAATTTATCCTGAGAGCCGCTGGGGTGAATTAATACACTACCTTTTCCACGCTTCAGATAATGCCCTCAGATACTTAGCAGCAAGAAGGAATCGGCCGTTCCGTGGTTTTTCTTCACTACTCAGATAAAATAACACACAGCCATTCAAAAGTCTTAGTCTATTCGGCTTTTCCGACACAGGCATTTTAGCGTTAGAGTCATTCTAGAGTCCGAGTCGTTTATGAGTCATTAATTCTAGAGTCGTTGTATGTCTAGTACCAACATGAAGAAAAAACATGAACTGACACCTTCCACAGACTCGGGCAAATGTGAGCTGCCTATACTAAATCCTGTGGAGTTGATTGGGTACGTCAATGAGGTAAGGATTAGTTGAATACATCAACTTACACATTACACATTTAACCGCCTAAAATTAATTAGTTAAATGAATCACTTTTTTTACATTTAAGTCTCAATCTACAAGTATTAAAACCCAATTACAGTTTGTATTAATTCATCTGTATTTTAAAATCCATAAGTACGCTCTATGTGATTATTCCAAACGCAAATTTCTAAAACAAAATTATCGAATATTTCACGCAACATAATTACAAAATATTAAACAATGGGCACGATATTTTCATTCGTGATGTTAAATGTAATCAACTTACCGTATAGATAATTCTTTATTGATCTATGAATTAAATGTGTTTATGTCAACATAAGCTACAGTTCACACTATTAAAATATGTAATGCAACTATTGAACCACTCAATCAACAGAGCTTTGTTGAGCTTGTTTGTTTGGTGTATTGAGCTAGGAGACTGATAGTTCTGTTTTAAATGGAAATACCCAGCAGTTTGAAAATGGAGTGTGTGCTTAAAGGAAATTATATACATACACACACATATATATATATATATATATATATATATATATATATATATATATATATATATATATATATATATATATATATATATATATATATATATAATTTCCTTTCCTGTGTATACATCTAAAATGTAAAAGTTTATGTACAATGTTCACAAATCAAATACCCTTATAACAAACTCCACTATCATCAATCCAGCTATATGTTGACTCTAGGCTCCAACTACAAGGGCACTGTCCGACTACAACGTTCTGCTACTTTATGATCAAATGTAATCTCTAAACTACTTTAATTATGATCTCCCGCTCGACTGACTTCTAACACTAGCTCTGCTCAACTGCTCGTGACTCGTGACTGGCCATCTCGCTTCTCATTGGTCAGGCTATTGTATTGGTTCCTACTCCAACCTACTTCAACTACTCGACCAATGGCTAGCTGTCTATTTTTAATTCTACACCTGTATACATGGCTTCTCTCCCTGACCTATCCCTACACTGTTGCCTAACTTGGTCGTCACACACGATATGTTTGAAAGAATAGTTAAACATCCAGTCAAACCAAACCTAACCATACGACTGTTCATCAGGAAACAGGTGTACAGCTAAAACCCGTCGAAAAACCAAGTGCCTCGGTCACCGTTAAACGCGGCCGACTGACGTGGATCTACAGAAAAGACGGAACCCACCTCAAGAGAACGCCCTCCCAACAACTGTTCCGTATCTTCTACAAGTACGCCAGACGGGCGTCTCTCAACGGGCTGATATTTATCCTCAAATCTCGGCGCCCCACGGTCAAGGCGCTGTGGTCGTTACTCCTGCTGGCCGCTATAGGGGCCACCACATTCCATCTGATTTTGTAAGTACTCGTCGCGTGAGTTTTCAGTCAGGATCAATGTTGCCCTAATTGTGTTAGTTATCATAAGATATATATATATATATATATATATATATATATATATATATATATATAGGCCTATTCATTGTTTTATTTATTTAAAGACATATCTATATCTATATCTATATATTTTGTTTTATTCATATATGTATGAATATTGTATATATATATATATATATATATATATATATATATATATATATATATATATATATATATATATATATATATATAAATGTATATATATATATATATATATATATATATATATATATATATATATATATATATATATATATATATATATATATATATATATGTCTGTGTGTATGTTTGCTGTCTATACATGTATGTAGTAAAGTCTAATCTCTGTAGTTTTTCGGTTACCTACAGCCTGTTCACGAGCTTCTTCCAGTACCAGAACTATTCCAAAGTGACGCTAAAAATCAGCAGTTTACAGTTTCCTTCTGTCACAGTGTGCAACGTGAACCTGCTCAGGTTCTCACAGGTAAACCTGCCTGCAGGCTGCCTGTCAGTGACTTGTTGTAACACAACATGATTATTTTTTTCATTTTTATGTTAACTCTACATGTTTTGTTTTAAACACATCTACATTTGACATTGATCTAATGAAATCTAGTCAAATGAAAACCTTAACTTTTTATCTGCCAGCTGCCTAGATCTTCGACTCCCATACAAAACCTTTTTAACAAGAAGGAAAAACAGGAGGTACACGATTCGAACCTCACAGATGACAGCAATACTTTAACAGAACATGATTACAACATTACATACTACAGCAATTCTACGAATATACGGTACTTATTGTAGAATGATTGAAATATAATTAAAATAATACCATGAAAAATCACATCTTTTGCCATTTATTACATTATTTAGTAACATGCTAGTTCTTTATCACAGTTTTAGCCAGATAGAGTTGTAGATAAAAAAAATATTGTATACATTTGTTGACAACACTGAGATAAATATTTCAGTAACGTGAACGTCACGGCTATTCTCGAGGCGAGTCAACTGGACATAGCAGACCCACTGCTAGAGAAGTGGGTCAAAGAGAGGGAGACGCTTTTATGCCAGGTAACACAGAGTTAAACTCTAGAGCTAATGGTGGATACAAAACTTTATTTATGTATATATATATATATATATATATATATATATATATATATATATATATATATATATATATATATATATATATATATATATATATATATATATATATATATATTTAAAATTTAATTATATGAGAATTTCATTTCCCGTAAGGAAAACTTAGTAAGAATCTCTGAGTAGAGCAGTGCTCGCTAGTTTAGTTACTCATTGCTGTCAAATATATGACGGTTATGTAACGGTTTATGTCTTTTTAAAAACCAATTTATTCTGCAGTACTGTAAATACTGCTGGAATCAGATTCAAACAGACAACTCGTCTCTCTATAAAGTCGAGGATTTTTTCCTGTACTTGTTCAACAAGCAATCAATGTAAGGATGTAAGCGTAAGGTTTAGGGTTTAACGCTTTAGTTAGATTTATTCTATAGCCATTGAATGTAATGGTTTAACGCTTTAGTGCAACAAACAATCAATGTAAGGATGTAAGCGTAAGGTTTAGGGTTTAACGTTTTATTTAGATTTATTCTATGACCATTGAATGTAAGGGTTTAACGCTTTTGCGCAACAAGCAATCAATGTAAGGGTTTAAACGCTTTCGTAAAATAGGAAACAAATTTTAGGTGTTTAAACAGTATAGTTAGATCTATTCAAGAAGCAATTAATATACAATTACAAACGTTTCAGAAGATACTTTAAACAAAAGAATAATAAGATAAGCTTTGATTACCATTTAAGTACACCTGTTTAATTAACCTGTAGAAAACACCGACAGTCTCTGAGTCACCAGCTGGAGGATTTCGTCAAAATGTGTTCGTTTGCTGGGAGGTCGTGCAGCTATCAGTGAGTGTGTCTTTGTACCGTCCATCTAGAGGATTCATGTTTATATGGTTATATGGTTATATAGGAGTGGATACCAGAGTAGACACTGGAAACATCAGTCTTAGGTGTAGAAACAGTTTTAAACCCATTCTTGTTACTTTATTTAATACGTATAGCCTGTGACCGGATATAACAGCCATTAATTAAGCCATTTGACAGTTATTTTCAGAATGTTTAAAACTTTTATTAATTAATTAAAGCTGCAAACCAATTGAAAATACCCGGGGTTTGTAAATTTCGTCGTTTGAAGATCATGCAGCTGATGACTGTGAGTAAATCTAAATAAAATAATTCCCAGGTTATTCAAGCCCATTGTCTCAGCTCAGTACGGCAACTGTTTTACACTAGACAACCCTGATTTCATCTCCAGGAAGAGTGGGGCAGAAAGCGGTACGCTTTTCTCCTATATTTGCTCATACGTAACATTTGTGAATAGCTGCAACAATAAAATTTGTATTGGTTTATATTGGTTACTAAAATTGGATATTATAAGACGCTGACTCGTACAATTTTGGAAGTTAATATCAATATAAAGCATACATCGATAGGGAAAGTAAACAATACAATATCCTGTGCGGACAAGATCCATTGGTTGGATGTAGTAAACTTTATGTTCCTGGATGACGGTATACGAGAGGATGGTGAGGTGTGCCTAGCCACCTTGACTTTCCCTAACGTTTGTCAGGTACCCATAAGTGCTGGATGGACGTCATTTCTTTTTTTTTTTTCCGGGATCGAATTCGAGACTGTCGGGGTGGAAGTCCCGCGTGCTACTACCCGACCACACCTCACACTACTTCAATACAAACCAATACAGTTTGTTTCAACTTCGACAAGTATTTTAACGAAAAGTTTTAATTAACTTAGCACACGTTAACGTGATTCTAGAAATTGTTATAAAGGGATGTTTTCTAGAGCTTTAACTCTAGTTGAAATAATCACTCAGTGTCTAGAATCACTTTTAACTTGTTGACTCCCCCCTCGCCCCCTACCCCATAGGTCTGGAGCTGATACTGTCTATAGAGAACGACGATTACCTACCTGGAGTTACCTCGGGAAGGGGCGCTAGGGTGATCATCCACGAGCCAGGTACGTCTCCACACAACGAAGACAACAGTATCACCGTGAGCCCGGGGGTGCACACAGTCATAGGACTCACGCTGGTAACACTGCTCTTACTGCTCTTATTAATTAATTAGTTTATTAATTAATTAATTTTGGGTTCTGGATACAAGTTAAGTTAAATATAACCTTATCAACTAGATAAACCTACATAGTGTAAGAATAGTCTAGAAACATCATTGTTGTATTAGAAAACGGTGATACGACGTTTATAAAGTTCAAACTACTTTTATTATCAGAGAGAAATCCAGCACATTGGAGCGCCATATGACAATTGTGAAGAGGGGAGAGAGTTCAAAAAACAGTACGGGTTTAACTACACACGAAACGTGAGTGGCATTGTGTGAGAGTATGGGGGGAATTCGTGTTACAAGAGGGGACATTGTGTGACATGAGAGGACATTTTGTACGATAAGGGGACATTTTCTGTCTAGAGGGGATATTTTTTGACATGAGTGGGTATTTGGTGAGAGATGAATGTTGACAGGGAGTGACGTTGTGTGACAGGGAGTGACATTGTGTGACAGGTAGTGACATCGTGTGACAGGGAGTGACATTGTGTGACAGTGAGTGACATTGTGTGACAGTGAGTGACATTGTGTGACAGTGAGTGACATTGTGTGACAGGGAGTGACATCGTGTGACAGGGAGTGACATTGTGTGACAGGAGTGACATCGTGTGACAGGGAGTGACATTGTGTGACAAATTGAGCGAGTTTGTTGTGAGCGTCCAGTGAGGTGTGACAAATTGAGCGAGTTTCGAACCACACACAGTTCACCCTTGTCGTTTCAGTTTTGTCAAAAACAGTGCGAGCAAAACATCATACAACAGAAGTGCGGATGTTTTGAGCATGAACTCGACTTTGACAAGGAAAACAAAACAAACCTGTTGAAACAGTGTAACGATGAAACAGGTCGGTCTGAATTCTGATACAGAGCAGTTCAATTTTAACGAGGGTTGGGCCGTCTGTAATTACAATAGTAGGGATGTAGATGCACTGAGTACCTGGTATAGAGTCATTAACTACCTTAAATGAAGGTGTATTGAACAACACGCATGTATATGTGCTGAACACTTCATGATGGAGATGAAGAAAGTACCAACCATGGTGTTGTGCTGAGTACTACGCATTACGATGTACTGAGTACCCGTCACAGTACTGAGTGCCAACGATGGATTTAGGTAGTGTGTTTAATCAGTTGTTTGATTTGGTAATAGTGGCCTATTGGTGTTTGGTGTGAAAACACAATCTGTAGCTGTGTGAACAACAACAGTGGTATCACGGCATGGATATTGTTATCTTTATTGTTTCTGTATTACTCTATTTCCCCCATCTCTCCATCCCTTTTTTCCTCACATCCTCTCCTACCTCATCGCACTTAACCAACTACCTCGCACCTCATGCCCTCTGACACTCACCTGACACCCTCTCACTTGACACCCTCTCACCTGACTCACCTGACTCACCTGACACCTTCTCACCTGACACCCGCTCACCTGACTCACCTGACACCCTCTCACCTGACACCCTCTCACCTGACACCTTCTCACCTGACACCCGCTCACCTGACTCACCTGACACCCTCTCACCTGACACCCTCTCACCTGACACCCTCTCACCTGACACCCTCTCACCTGACTCACCTGACACCCTCTCACCTGACACTCTCTTACCTGACACCCTCTCACTTGACACCCTCTCACCTGACACCCTCTCACCTGACTCACATGACACCCTCTAACCTGACACCCTCTCACCTGACACCCTCTCACCTGACACTCTCTTACCTGACACCCTCTCACCTGACTCACATGACACCCTCTCACCTGACACTCTCTCACCTGACACCCTCTCACCTGACACCCTCTCACCTGACTCACCTGACACCCTCTCACCTGACACTCTCTTACCTGACACCCTCTCACCTGACTCACCTGACACCCTCTCACCTGACACTCTCTCACCTGACACCCTCTCACCTGACACCCTCTCACCTGACACTCTCTCACCTGACACCCTCTCACCTGACACCCTCTCAACTGACTCACCTGACACCCTCTCACCTGACTCACCTGACACCCTCTACCTGACACCCCCTCACCTGCCATCCTCTCACATGACGCCCTCTCACTTGACTTACCTGACACCCTCTCGTATCCTCAGAGCGCAGGTGCCTATACCGGGTCAAGTGTGAGCTGCAGCAAGACACTGATTTCTGCAACTGTCAGACACCCTGCAGGTATGTTATGGCTCAATCATTGGCAGGTGTAAGTAAATACAAGGCTAAATTGTTGAAATATGTAAGCTAAAACAAGGTTAAATTGTTGAAATATGTCTGAAAATATTTGGGCTAAATTGTTGAAATATGTAAGCAAATATTGGGGTTAAATTGTTGAAATATGTAAGCAAATATTGGGGCTACTTTTTTAAAATATGTAAGCAAATACTGGGTCCGAATTGATGAAATATGTAACGAAATATTGGGTCTAAATTGTTGAAATATGTAAGCAACTATTGGTTTTAAATTGTTAAAATATGTAAGCAAATATTGGGGTTAAATTGTTGAAATATGTAAACAATAAAAGAGTTGAATTGTTGAAATATGTACGCAGCTACTTGGGCTAAATTGTTAAATACCAGAAAAAGAATACAAATGTTTACCTTTTGCTAGACTTAGGGAGGTTGTCTATCAGAAAAGTATACAAATGTTTACCTTTGTTTTGTCTTAAGGAAGTTGTCTATCAGAAAAGTATACAAATGTTTACTATTGTTTTGTCTTAGGGAGGTTGTCTATCAGAAAAGTATACAAATGTTTACCTTTGTTTTGTCTTAGGGAGGTTGTCTATCAGAAAACAGTCAGCTCGTTGACCTGGCCTACAGATACATTCATCGTAAGATTGGCTTTTCGTTTTTATGATTTTATCTACACTAAATTTTCATTCTCTTTACTCAGTCCTTTTTATTAAATATCATTTGTCAAATGTAGGCCTATAGGTTTTACGTTTCATGAGCCGTACAAAACTGGGCGGTGGGGGGAGGGGGGGGGGGAAGGTTATCACGCGTTTAGATACGTTGCATGGAAATATTATTTAAGAATGTGCAGGTTTCAAACACAACAATGGAATTGTACTCTAGTTATTTGTTCATACTCAAAAAAGGAATTGAACAGGGGCGTAGCGAGGGGGGGGGGCGGGGGGTGCGGACCGCACCGGGTGACACCATTTAGGGGGGTGACACCAAGGCAAAAAATGGCAAAATATAGAGAGAAAAACTTGAGGGGGGGTGCAAATCGAAAGTTTGAGGGGGGGTGCAAATCGAAAACTTGAGGGGGGGGGGGTGCAAATCAAAAGTTTGAGGGGGGGGTGGTGCAAATCGAAAACTTGAAAGTTTGTCCCCGGTGAGGGTCGCAACGCCTCTGGGGGGTGGGTGACACCATTAAGTGCCGCACCGGGTGAAACCCGACCTCGCTACCCACTGGAATTGAACACTAATCACGTTTTAAAACTTAACAAAGGAATTGTACTCTTGTAGAAACAATTATATCTGACATATGATATGAAATCCAGGTCGCCATGGACTCGATATACGAATGATTTTTTCGACAACTTTTGGCTAATTGAAATTAGTTTTTCAATTCATACACACCCCTTCACAAACATGTAATATGTATTCGACGTCTACATTTATTTTAAAAAATGATTGTGTTTTCAGGAGTACATCCGACCTCAGATGTGTTCAGTACCAAAACCTCCAATAATCTGTACCAGCAAGAACAACAAAACAGAGGATTTCAAGTAAATTTGTCACATTACCTGCACATCATATCACATTTACTTCAAGTAAACTTGGCACATTACCCTACACATAATATCACATATATTTTAAGTTAACTTGTCATATTACAATTATATAATATCACATATATTTCATGTAAACTTGTCGCATTACCCTGCATACATCACATATATTTTAAGTAAACTTGTCACTTTACAATTACATAATATCACATATATTTCATGTAAAATTGTCACATTTACCCCGAACATACACATATCACATACACATTTATAGCCTTGTCTTGTACTGTCGATCAAGAAATGTGTAGTCCAGACATGCCTAGAACCCTCCTGGAATTAGATTTTAAGACCACCTAGGGTATTTTCTAGAACAAATTGTTGGGTATTGCAACCATGACAAAGTTCTCACCAGGAATATATTGCGTTCTTAAACATGAAGAACTTATTTTGTGAAATAATTAAGTTTAGTCCAGTCCGTCTAAAACCCAGGAGTCAAATCCAGAGTCATGAATCGAGTCTGTAAAATTTGCTGTGTCTTTCTTCGTATGGGTATCGTGTTGGTAAACTGTAGCTGTTTCTCTGATAAAATCTACAATTGATTTTTTTTCCATCAAACTAGCTAAATTATTAAACAACATCTCCACCAATCTAACTAAAAATTAAAAAAAAAGTTTTTTATCTTTACAATTAGAGATGAGGATATCAGTGGCGTAGGCAGGGGGGGTTAGGGGGGGTCATAACCCCCCCCCCCCATAGACCCCTCGGTATATATAAAAAGTATGAGGGGGGGGGGGGGGTGCAAATAGAAAGTTTGAGGGGGGGGGGGGGTGCAAATCGAAAGTTTGAGGGGGGGGGGGGTGCAAATCGAAAGTTTGAGGGGGGGTGCAAATCGAAAGTTTGAGGGCGGGGGTGCAAATCGAAAGTTTGTCCCCGGGTAAAAATTGGAACCCCCCCCCCCTTGAGACGATCCTGGCTACGCCACTGGAGGATATTAATAAAAAAGACTAGTTTTCCCAGACATTTTAAATTACAAAGTTTTGAATTTTCAGGCGAGAGCTGATCAAACTTAGCATTTACTTTGAGGATCTCAACTACGAAGTTTTAACAGATGAGCCAAACTACGAGGTACACCTGTCATAATGTGGGCTATACCACAATTATATTCAATGGTAGCTTAAGTCGCACCAAATGTCATGCGTATGTTGTCATTCCGTAATACGCCAACAATATTATTAACCTAATTGTGTATGATTACTTTTTTAGTTATTCCTCGCATGATTGGTTTTTGGTACTTATTGATTTTATTACTATTTCTGTAATTATTCATTGTGTATTGCTTACAAAAATAAAAATAGTCCATCATTTATCATACTGTTTCCATTGTTAACTAGCGTATTATAATTGAGAAACATGATACACATAGTAATGCGTTTAATTGGAAATGCAGTTCACAAATGGATACGGTAAAAATATAAAAGCTATTTTATTAATACGATAACAATTTAACACCGCGCTGACTTTTGTTTACAGATCGTCAACCTGCTGTCTGACATCGGGGGGTCGATAGGGCTGTGGATCGGTCTGTCTGTCCTCAGTCTGTTTGAGATCGTTCATCTGGTACTGGAGATATTCCGTTATGTCGTATGCTTGGAGTGGCTGAAGAGGGGGAAGAGAGAGGAAGGCATCAAGAGTTCTGGTAGTACAGGAAGTTTACAGTTCTGGAGGCGGGGAAGGAGGGAGGAGGACAGCGAGAGTTCTGGTAGCAGAGGTGGGTTGCGGTGGTGGAGACGTAGGGGGAAGGGGGATCAGATGAATCGTTCTACCTGTAGCACGGTGTGTGTAGTTGATGTACAGGATGGTAGTGATGGGTGATGGTGTTGTAAACGCTGAGTGATGGTGCAGATAGTGATGGTTGATATTGTTGTAAACGTGGAGTGATGGTGCAGATAGTGATGGTTGATGGTGCTGTAAAAGTGAGTGATGTTGTAGCTAGTAATGTGTGATGGTGCCACGTTGGCTAAAGCTGATTGAAAGTGGGATTTTTACCATGATTTATTGTGGTACAGCTTCTCAAGTCGATGATTAACGTTATTTTACTTTCGTTTTTCTTGGAGATAAATTTCTTTGTTCATTCATAATTTTATATCTCTTTATATTTCATGTTAAAACAATAGTTTCCGTGACGCATCATGTAAACTGTATTGTGGTAAAAATCTCAATTACCTCTAGCGAAATAAGGTTGAACAATAAGGCCGGAGAATCCTATGCCTCGGTTGTTTTTTATCTTACAACTAGATCTAGGAATATTTCTGTAAACTTTCTCCAAGGGAGACAACACAGTGACTTCTTATCTAATTTTCTAAAGGGTTTTTTTTTAATGGGGTTTAGATTTTCAGAAGTTTTAACGTAAATTATCTGGTAAGAATCATCTTTTGAAACGTCTTTTTACCATTAAATTTTTCCAAAATCAAGTTATAAAGAAATGTGATATTAAATTATATTATAAAAAACTGTAAACAAAATACTCATCTCAAGTGATCACTTTTGTAAAATATGATATTATTATTATTGCTGTCCATTCTTAGCGCAATTTCCATACTGGAATTGCGATTATTATTTCGTTATTTCTGGATGGATGGATGGATGGATGTGTGTCCGCAGCTTTAAGTCGTATCTCCTCCTCAAAGAAGCAATATCGAGGACTAGTTCCAAAAGCAAATTTGTTAAGCAAGTTCCGAGGATGATTGTGGGCCAAAAAGATTCCCGGAATTCCTTCCTGGATTTCCTGGAAAAACCAAATAAAAAAACTCGAAAACAATTCAGTTTTTGGCCCATATCTCGGCAACCAGACCACTTAGCGACTTGAAACATTTACCAATCGATTTCTGCCATAATTTAGAACAATATTGCCGAAGAAAGTTTTCAAAAATATTCTTTCGTTCGATCACAAAAAATTAATTAAGAACAAATAAGTTTATATTTTTAGGATGATATTTACTATTATTAACTTGTTTAAACTGAGCATCGTGTAGGCCTACTCGTTAAAATAAAACTATTTCCGTTGATATAGGTTAATATAGTTGTCTTTATTTTTTACTTATTAATTCAAACGTTATTTTTGTACCCTATTAAATAATAAATATTTTTTTCTATTTTGTTTTGAATTATTAAAACTACTTGAGTTGCATTATTTATTTGCTGAATATATGATTTATCTCGATTTAAAATTGTTATGGATAACATAAGGAAATTGCGCTTAAATTGTCACTAGACTTTTTATTAACTTGTTTTAAATATGTACTTTAAAAAATGCCCTATGTATTTTAATTCTTGTAATTAATTTTGTTCATAATTTGATGTTTTATTAAATTTGCACCTTTCGACTCAGATCTCTATT